TCCAGATCCCAGAAGAAGGCACAAGAGAATTACAGAGAACCAGGGAGGCAGGGGTGGCTGGCTACAGAATGTGATGGATAGACCACTGGCATAAGGAGCTGCAGATAAAGCATTGTGGGGAAGCACCCTGACAGCCCGCAGTATTCAAGACTGCAGTTTTTCCATTTATCACAGCTGATTAAAGACAAACCGCAGATAGCCTCTGATTCTTGACAACATAAATTCCCCTCCTTGCAGACAACTGGACAATGGGTCAGGGGAAGATCCTGTCATGGAGGCTGCTCCACAAATGATAAATGTAAATGTCTGCTGGATTCCAGCATTTGGGTAGATGAGTGTGTTCCTGTACTCTCCTACAACTTTAGATCTATCTGTCTTTTCAAGAGGATGGCAAAGAGAAGCAGAGGAAATTTCATCTGCCAGTTGGCCAACTCTGAGACTGGAAGGAATTTCTCTTGTTGATAGGTAATAGGAAAACAATCACCACCTCAACACAGGAATGAAAAAAACTCTCTAGTGCAAGGAAGTAGAGAGCTATCTGAAGACTCCAAAGAAGAGCATACAACTGAAGATGATTTACTACAGGAAAAGAAGACTTTAGAAAATGTATCTCTGTACTTAATGGAAGGAGGGGGAGATAGTGTCTATTGATCATTAGTAAATTAAAAATATAAGGCAACTAAAATTTCACTGTGGAATTAAAAATGTCATCGGAGGCAAAAAAGCAAAACTGACTCTGCTGATGGTCAAATAAGTAATTTGTAGGATGAGTATGAGGTTTTGTTTTTCAGGGAACCTTTCTCACTTCTCCATGGACAGTGCTCACAGCTCAGATTTCTCAAAACACAATCTGCTTACTTTTATGAGCCCTTACTTAGCTGTGCTTCTCTGTAATTGCATTTGGTGTTTGGGTCTGTCCCTTGACCGTGTGTTGCTTCAGGGAGGGAGTATGACTCATGTATTTCTACCCCTCCAAAGCAGCATAATCTCTGACCAGTGGGCCCTCGTTAAGGGCCTGGTAAAGGTATGAAATGAGAGCTCACAGTCGATTTGGGGTTCTTATTGGTTTACATTTTTATTTTTTTAATCAGCATGCTAAAAACTCAGTCTACAACCAAAGTATCACAGAACACTGTTTAGAGACTCGGATGTCAGGATAGAGTTAAAAGATATGGACTGGAAAAAAAAAAGGTTTTTTTTTTTTTTTAAAGAAAAACAATGTTAAAACAGTGGACAAAGAATAAGGATGGCATCAAGTAAACAGTAAATTAAAAAGCAGTTAGACTATTAGATTGACTAAGAATTGAGAAAATGTTACTTTCCTAAAGTCATTCTAGGAGTCAATAGATTAGTTGAGAATACATAAAATACATCTTATCACAAGAGCAGGGGGCCCTCCCTCTCACTTCTTTTCCCTCCCTGTGCCTTTTTTTCTTTCACATTTCCTCTTAAAAAGAAAAACAACAAACCTTTACCATGCTTTGGATTTGCCAAATGACATCTACAGACATTACAGTGCGAGCTGTTATAACAGATAAAACCTAAATTTCAGTGGCTTAAAAAAGAAAAGGTATCCCTGGATAAGGTCCTAAAGGATCAAGGCTGACCGTTAAAGGCCTTCAGGGACTCAGACTGCTTTTATCTTATGGTCCCCCTCCTCTAAAGCCTTGGAATCCTATTTCAGCTGGCATATAGAGGTCCATTAACAGATAGAACAGAGCTTAAAACAAGGAGGTTTTTACAGACCAAAGCCACAAGTGGAGAACAAGGCTTTGGATATGTCCTATTAGTGCTCAGTCACATGCATGCATACTAAGTCGCTTCAGTCATGTCCAATTCTTTGCGACCCTATAGACTGTAGCCCTCCAGACTCCTCTGTCCTTGGGATTCTCCAGGCAAGAATACTGGAGTGGGTTACCATGCCCTTCTCCAGGGGATCTTCCCAACTCAGGGATTGAACCTGCATCTCATATGTCTCATATACATATATACATATATATATATATATCCTCATTTAATCTTCAATATCATTTAATGAGTGTTTTTATTACCAGTACTTTATTGACAGTAATATCAAGACACAGAAGGTTAAGCAACTTGACTGAGCCAACAAGGTTGAACAGTGAAGAAAATAAAACAAATCAGACTACTAGTGTAGTGAAAGTTTCTAGTAAATGTCCTGGAGTTCAAGTTCATAGGTTCTATTTCTTTGTTCTCAATTATCCTTGCCATACGTTATTCCTATTCCTCAAAGTACTTATCACTTGGGGCTTCCATGATATTCCCTATTCTTGCTTCCCTGCAACCTCATTACACTTTAATACATGAACACATTGATCTGAGTTTGTAAAACCTAATAGTTCCTGTCCTTTCACCTCAAAAGCCTTGCTATTTAAAGCAGGAGGCAAAAATCTAATTTAGCTGTCTCCTAAGCTGTTTCCACAACTTATTTATGCAGCAAAATCCCTAAACTTCCTCTAAAACAAAGGGCATATATTCTACCTATATATATACTTGAGATATTAAACAACCTCACTTTTTTTGGAGTGCAGATTATGAGAAATCTGTTTTATCCCACAGACAGAATCCAGGTCATGGCAGTGAAAGCCTGGAATCCTAACCATTAGGCCACCAGGGAACTCCCATCCCTTTCCTTTTAGGAAAGATTTTTTAAACTTAGTATCTTCTGTCTTTCTGGTGCTGAAATCTGGTATAAAACAAGAATTTCTTTTAAAGAAAGCTTTTCAAATATTAGTCATTTTAAGTGAGTCACTCCCTAAAAGAATGTGCTTGGGAGTCAAAGAAAGGTGACTTTGATATCCCAGAAACAAAACTCTGATCAATTCGTTCATCCATTTTGTCTACTATTAATCTGTTCCGACGGGGAAAATAAAACACTGAAATTTAACTGGTCAGTAGAAAACCTTCTTTCTGGTTTATATTTTACTAGATGCCAGTTGGAACTTCAGGCCAAACGTGGTTTGTAGAACAGTCTTGTGGCACAGACACTGTATCCATCATACAGAACAGACAAGGCGCTCTGAAGTGCCAGGCGCTGGAAGAGTGAGGAAACATTTTACGTGACAGTTACCTATAAATTCAATCCTCTAGGGAACCTGAAGCTAAACTCCTGGAAGGCTCTTTTGTCAGCTGTGCCTAAAGCAGGGTCCTAGTATGTGCTCAGGGTTGTAGGTCAGTTGGTAAAGAATCTGCCTACAATGCAGGAGACCCAGTTCGATTCCCGGGTGGGGAAGATTCCCTGGAGAAGGAAATGGCAACCCACTCCAGTATTCTTGTCTGGAGAACCCCTTGGACAGAGGAGCCTGGCAGGCTACAATTCATGGGTCACAGAAGAGTCGGACACGACTTAGCGACAAAACCACCACAGTAGGTGCTTATAAAGTGATGTTGGAAAAGTCAATGACCATGGCTAATTCATTTCAATGTATGACAAAAACCACTGCAATGATGTAAGGTAATTAGCCTCCAACTAATAAAAATAAATGAAAAAAAAAAAAAAGTCAATGAGGCCAAGATGGAGCTCACACATGGGAGAGCAGAAAGAGTTCTGAGTTCTAGAAACTCCCAATGGCTTTTGCAATTGGTTTGGTAGGTCATCCGGACACTCATCTTTTCTAAGTTCTAACACTTACCTAAAGGAAGACGGATCAAAGACATTTCACACAGTGAATGTATGTCTTTGAACTTCCTGAAGTTGACTGGGTGGAGGCCCTACCGTTTTAGGTTGGCACGTAAACGCGGCACCTGCAATTTCCGCCCTTCTCTTTCCGCTCTTCCTGGCTCCTGGTCCCTGCTCCTCGCCCCTCCCGCGGCCCACCGCCCGCTGGGTCAACCCGGGCCCTGGGAACAGCACGTCCCTCCCTCAGGAGAAAACAGGTAATCATCGCGTTTTAAACCACGGAAGCATGAGGTCTCTAAGTGAAAGCTTTATTTTGGACAGAAAAAAAATCAACCTACGAGAAACGAGGGAATACAGTCCAACCTCTATGCCTCCTGTCATGTTACGGCCTCCAGGGCCCCCTCAAAGCCTCCACCGAAGGACGCCGTCTTTCCCTCTCAGAGGCTGAAGGCCGGGTGAGAGCCTCCTCCCAGGCCCCACCTCCCGCCAGCTCCGCCCGCCACACCTCACTCCTACTTGGTGCCCACCCATTGTCCCCTCGCAGCTGTCACCGCGCACTGGTGCCCCAGCCCCGATTGGAAAAACCAGCTGGTCGCTCAGTCCACATACTGGGACCGGACGCCTCCCTCTCTCCCGAGCCTTAAAAGGCCTCCGGCCGCCGTCCCTGAGGTAGCAGGTAAAGCGGCGGCAGTGGAAAGGAGAAAGGGAGGGGCCGCGCGCCCCGATCGCCCCGCCCGGCGTGTGTGTCAGGGGAAGCTGGGGGGTCTAGCGCGCCACATCGCCCCTCCCTGACCCTTTGACCGTGCCCCACACCCACAAGTCCAGATCATAATGCCAGCGCCGAGGAGCCGCTCCTGTAATCTAGCACCCGCCCCCCCGCCCGCCCCGGCCGGATGCCCCCGGGGGGCAGTTACCGCCGCGAAGCACGGAGGGCGGGGCGGGCCAGGCGGATGGGAGGGGGCGGGGGTGTGAAAGGTCCCGGATGTTGCCGAACGGGCGCCCCTTCTTGAGGGAGTAACTGGCGCAGGCGCAGAAGGGTCGCACGAACCCTAAGGTGGGGGTGGGGAAAAATTGCCTCCCGGCGGATTTTGGGGGAGCGAGCCGGAGAAGAGTTGCGGGGGATCCGAGGGGAATGCGAGGGAAACGGTGGGGATACTGGTGACCAGAGGAAGAAAAAGATTTCTATTCGGGCACCCTCAGGACAGGAGTAGAGAAGCTGGAAGCCGAGAGGGCTGGAGAGGAGAGTTGGGAGCCGAGGGGACGCGCGCGCTCCTCCGCTCGCCCTCTAGCGCGGGCGGGCAGGACGGCCGCGAGCTGGGGAGCGGCGGTTGCTCTGGGCCCCCAGAGCTGTGGGCACCAATCAACGGTTGCCATAGCAGCGTTTGACGTCATCGTGCGTGTGGTGCCCCTGCTGCCGGGGCTGGTGATTGGAGGAAACCCCGTGTCTGCGGAGCGGCTGTAGCCTGTGAGCTGCGAGATCCAGGGACAGAGTCTCAGCCTCGCCGTTGCCGCCCAGAGACTGCTGATCCCCGTCCGTCCGTCGCCACCTACTCCGGACACAGGTAAGGGACCCAGCCGCCGTCGCCGCCTCGCCCCGCTCCTTCCTGTCCCAGGCCAAGCATCCGAAAGCGCGGGAGCAGTCCCCGCTCCGCATCCCCTCAAGCCCTGCTCGCCCGCGGTTGGGAGCGGCGCTGGGCTGAGGCGGAGTCTCCTCAGGCGGAGACGGGCGGCGGCTTCTCTTCCGCTGGGTTCTGGCGGGCGGCTCGCGGCCGCCTCCGGCTACTTGCTTCCGCATCGACGCTTCGGCCCGGAGGGGCGCCCGGTCTGATCCGGTCCCCGGGGATGGGGGGGTGGTGGGTAGGGCGCCCGCACGCCAGGTTTCCCCCAGGGACCCGCCCGGTCGCAGGCCTCCGGAGGGTGACCGAGGAAGCGCCGGCCGCGATCCGTTCCTTTTTCGCGCCCCCACCCACCCCCCGGCAGCCCCCTCCTCCGCGCCGCCCCGCTGCCCGCTTCCGCCCGAGAGAGAATGACTCGGCGGCCGCGGGCATTGCAGTGGCGCAGGTGAGGCCGCCCCCTCCCCGCCGCCCCCCGTCCCCTCCCCTCGCCTCTCCCGCCCTCTCGGCGGCGCAGCCTCCGCGCCCGGCGCTGCGGCGGCACCCAGCCCTTCATCCCAACCCGGGCGGCGGCGGCGGCGGCGGGAGGGTCGGCCCTGGCCACGGGGCTGCGAGCCAAGGCGGCCCGGAAGCGCCCGCCAGGTAAAGCGGGGCGAGGCCGTGCTTCGGTCGAGCCGGTCCCGGGGTGGGGCTCGCCCGAGACCTCGAGCCGAATTTCCCGGGTTCCGCGGGGGTGGTGGTGGGGGGCGGGGAATACTTGAATATTCCCGGCGTGGTGGGGGGGGGGATGGGGCTGGTTTTCCGTCTCCGCGTGGAGGGGGTGGGGTGTTCGGAGCCCGGGTAGGGGATAGCGATGAGGGTGGGAAAGACGTGGGACCACAGGACTCGCTCCTCCTCCCGGGGGTGGGGGGGCCTGGTAGACCTGAGGGTCCCTGCGTGGCTGTGTGTCGACCGGGACCCCGCTCGGCGGGGCGGGTGAGCCCGCGCGTAACAGCCGGCGCTGCCGGGCTCGCCTGGGTGTGGCTCGCCCCCTCCCCCACTGGTTGCAGCTGTCGGGCCCCCGGAGACTAAAGGAGCACCCGCGGCGGCCGGTGGCCGACGAACGCCGACGGGAGAGTGGGGTGTGTCCGCGGCCGGCCGCTCGTGGTTCCGCTTCTGCGGGCGGGCGGCCGGCCCCGGCGTCCGTGCCCCCGAGGCGGGCGGGCGGCTCCGGATTCCCAGCGCAGGCGGGGGCGCGCGTCTCCTCCCCGCGCCTCCCCCGCCGCGGCCCCGGTTGGGGAATTAACACTAGGCAGTAGGTTGGGCTCCTTGACACAGATCCGCCATGACAAAGAGGGAGAAGCGGGGACTCGCGCGGAGGCACCAGCCTGGGCGGAGCCAAGGAGGGGGGTTGCGGCTGGCGCGGACGGAAGGGTTTGCCCTTTAAAGTCACAGACGGCCCGTTGTCGTTTCACCCACCTCGAAGTCTTCCGCAGGTGAAGGGTTAAATGGGTGCGGCGAGTCCTGGGAGCGCTGCTTATTCTTTGAGAAACCTAGTCCACTTCCCCTCGTTACCGAGGGGTTTGGGAGAGGAACCTTTGTACTGGCTGTACATAATTTTCTTTAGAAGTAACATTAGCCGGAGAGCCTTTTTTAATTTTTAGAGGGGGAGAATTGGTAATTGCAAGAAAGGGGTTGGGGAGATTATGCGATAATAGATTCGGGTTTTGACATCGAAAACAGTATACTTCCTATTCAAGCTAGCTAGCTACTTGTTTAAATACAAAGGATTGGTTCCGATTTGGTTTTTTAAAAAGAAATGTGGGATTTCCCTGGGAAGGTAAAGAAAGGGAGTCAGTTCCCATAGTGAGTGACAGTGATTCCTCTTTTCATCGTTAAGTCATGTACCCTTTGGGACCACTGTAGGGGCTAGTATCTTTCTGTGCTGCTTTAGGATCTTTCTGAAGGATGTCTTAAGGAATAGCATAACGGGGAAAATTGAAAAGTCCAGAGATTTAAAATGGGAAAGAATTGGGAAGTCTTGATAAGGGCAGCTTGAGTGATAATGTATTCAATTAATTTTTGACTACTAGAAACGAGGCAGTAAGTGCATTTAAACAGAACAATGACATCAGAAACACTGATCACACTGGGAAGCATTTAGTATCTATTTTATTGCTCACAGATAGTAAGAATTGAAGTTCCAAGACTCACGGATTTTTTTAAGCCCATGTGCGTATAACAAGGTACAGATGATTGAAGCTTTAGGGTTAGTTATTAATCCTTGGTTGTGGTTTTACATTCACAATATTAAAATAAGCAAATGTGGTCATTTCTCCCAGGAAATTTGCATGGTATGATCAGCTCTTGCAAAGATCAGTGGCCTCGGGGTGGGAGTGTTTTCAGCTAAAATTTAAACACTTGACAAGAGCAGATATTAACAGTAATGGACATGAATTACATTAAACTGACAGGAGTCATTCTGAAAGTATGGTGGTATTCTTCATAGGTGCTATTTTCACTAAAGAAAAACTGCTTAATTTTGGATTACCCAGTGATATTTGAAACTAGAGTTGAGATTTTGACCAAGTAAGATAAAGTTAAGGCAGCCTTTTTGGTCAGGTGTGCTTCAGTTTTATGTAAAATTAAAGATCTTGTGAACAAAGATGAGATAATGACTAGCAAATTTTAGATTTGCTTAACCAATTTTAATGGCTTTAAGTGTACACTATGCACGCTGAGTATGCCATTTTTTTTTTCACTTATTCTTGAGCATCCTTTGGTGAAGTTTCATTGAATTCCACATGTAGAGAATCTTCCATCCATAATTAGGTTTGAAGTGTTAACATGTTTGCAAAGGGTATGATTTTTAGCCTGTTTGTTTTACTGGAAAAAATATCTAAATGCTGCTTTTTTCCCCCTGCAGAACATCCAGTCATGGATAAAAACGAGCTGGTACAGAAGGCCAAACTGGCTGAGCAGGCTGAGCGATATGATGACATGGCAGCCTGCATGAAGTCTGTAACTGAGCAAGGAGCTGAATTATCCAATGAGGAGAGGAATCTTCTGTCAGTTGCTTATAAAAATGTTGTAGGAGCCCGTAGGTCATCTTGGAGGGTCGTCTCCAGTATTGAGCAAAAGACGGAAGGTGCTGAGAAAAAACAGCAGATGGCTCGAGAATACAGAGAGAAAATAGAGACCGAGCTAAGAGATATCTGCAATGATGTACTGGTGAGAAACCGCTCAGTCTAGTGTCATTGTAATACAGGGTTTCTGTAATGATTATCAGTTCCATTACTCTCAACTTTTTCTTTCTTTGATTTCTCTCTCTCTTTTAAAAATAGGGTGTTCTAAATTTCCAAGTCTTTCAGGTGTCATTACTAAAGTGGTAGAACAATTGTGGTTAGATTTGTATAAAATGAATTCTGTGATGATTATCAGTCAGCTCAGGTAGTATATTCTAATTGAAAAGGTAAAGTAATCGAATTATCATTTCAGTTGTGGTTAGAATATTTGTAGTAGTTCTAGAGCTGATTTTCTTAGAAGTATACAGATGCAGAAATTTTGCCTGTCTTGCTTTATGTGAGATGTAGTAGAAATTGTAGACCTAATAGCCTTCCCTGGGTTAGCCACTGAAACGTTAATGTAAGTCAGCCGTGCAGAAAACTGGCTCAACAGTTGTTTTTTGCCTTTCTGCATTAAAGTATTGGAAGTCAACTTTGAACATTGACAAGCACATTAAAAGATAATGAAAAACTCTAAAGCTTGATTTTCCAGGTTCAGTCAAGAAGTATTTTAGGTATTCAGTGTCTACTCCGTTGAAGCACTGCTTCTCTAAATAGCATAAAAGACTTGAACATTATATTTTGGTTAATTTTAAAATTTGCTTACAAATGGTGACTTTCTGTGTCAGAAAAGTTGAAATAAAAGGACAAGTTGGCGAATGGTGCAACCATTTAGTATCTAACAGCCTGTGTACTCTAGCACTTTCATTTTTTAATGAACTGGGAGTTCGTGGAATAATATTTAAAGCGGGTTTAACTAAATGATTACTCTTACATTGCAGATGGGTACTCTTAGATACACATGGGTCTCTGACAGGGCTCTGGTATATAGAGACAGGCTGAATCCCACTTCCTCTGAAAATCCAGCTGCACTTATTATTTGAATCTTGTTCATGGAAGAACTACTATAACAAGCTATATAGAATTATTTCTGATGGGGGTTTGGAGTTTTTGTTAAAATTGTAATGGTATTATGATTCCTTTACAGTAGTCTTAACACTTAACTGGAATAGCTTCAGTTCCTAAATTATATTTTTTTTCAAATGATAATTTACTTCAGACTGTCTTTTTAAAGAATAACATTTTCTATCTTAATGTGGGCTATAGTCTTTTCATGTGATACCTATCTTGTGGGTAGTTTGTTTTTGATTGCTTACTTGAAATCTTTATATTGATAGCTATCATTCATAAAATGAGAAGGGAGTTCCATGCTTTTCTTGAGACTAAATGGCAAATGTTTATCTTATGCTTTGCTAATTTAATAAGAATATTTAAAATTTGAAAATATGTTTCCCTATAATAAAAAAAACGCTGTTGGACTTGTCCCCACCTTCTATGCTCTGTTTACTGGTAAGAACCTGAGTGTGTTATTTAATTTTGTTCACTCTAATGTTTTTCCCCCCAGTTATTATACCTGATAGATTAAATAATTAAGAGTTTTGTTATTTCCCTTAAGACAAAAGTCAGTTTTAGGAATAAAAGGGGATATGGTAACATGGTAACATTCATCCTCTACTAACAGCTTATTTGCAATTCCAGGTAGGTATTTGCATGTTTTCCACACAAAAAGTATAAAAGCTCCCGTCATTGTGAGACTTTCCTAGGAAAAGACTGTAGCAGTTTTAGCTTTACTTTCCTTTGCTTTCTTTATCAAGGAAAAAAAATACTGCATTGGATCAGTGGGTGAGAATATCTGAATTAATCTCTGAATAGCTTCTCCTTTTGAAATGATTGTTAAGAGAGTTTGATACTGGTTGCTGATCACTATGTTGCTCTCCTTCAGAATTGCACACTGGCTTCGCACCAAATCTAAATGAAATTTCCAGTTCAAAAGTATAAATGAAATTTCCACTTTGAAAGTATAGATAAATGAAAGTTTAATTCCTTTACTATATAAAAGGCTCAGAGAATTCTAAACAAGCTTTTGCTTCCAACCTTAAGTCTTTTCAGAAGTGAAGCTCCATTGGTGAATTTTGCATGGCTCATCCTTCCTAATATATAGTATATACTCAAATTATTTGTTAAGTAAATGAGCTTTTGGCTTCTTTTGGAAAAGAGGTGGAACTAGGTCAGCAGTACGGCTAATTTTCCAAGGCCTTTTCGGTTTCAACTTGGGGAAACTTGGATATTTACAGATACTGTGATTCTTTACAGGCAAGCTTCTTTTCCCGATCATCTTTCTTCAAACAGGTCCTGTTGACTCGGGAAACATCTTGCATAAAATTCCTTTTCTTCTTTTAAGTAAAATGGAAGAATAAAATATAGCAGAACTGTTATTTCTCCTAGAGAAAAAAATGATTTGACCTGATTTGCTTGATAATTAGTGAACGTGTGCCTAATTATATCTCAATATCTTACATAATAAAAATGTAACCAGTTGTAATTTTTATTGCTCTAGTTTTTTTTCTTTGACTTCTAATTTGAGAAAAATAAGCAGATAATTGCTTTTCAGAATTAATATTGGCTGATAGCATCATTGATGAACCAGACTTCATTGTTGTATACTGCCTAAGAAAATATTCTTTGTCATCCTATTAGTAGGAACTAACCTCCATGGTTCAAAGTTTCTCTGAAGAGTTCTTTACTCTTACTAAGTTACTGCCATTCTGGTTACATGTACTTATCAAGTGTTTGTTTAATTTATACTATTTACTAAGCAGTGAAAGAGCAGGGACTGTGTTACTTTCTACAGAAGTTTTAGAGCATTACTGTAGAACATGGTCACTGACCTTATTCTTCACAGCATGAACTTCTCTTTATGCGAAATTATGGTTCTTCTCTTCCTTGTGGTGTTAAATTTGAAATTATAGTATGTGAACTAATGCAGTCAGCCTTTTCTAGCAGATCTTAGACCAAATGTTCTTGTCTTAGTGGGGGAAGGGGTTGATAACCTCTTCTGCTTAAACTCACAAGAAGCCAAAAATTAGGTAGTTTTATCTTGAACATGATGAAATGTAAAATGAAGTGAGCGTGTGCATACTAGGTTGTACCTAATTCAAACTCAATAATACAACAGCCTAAAAAGAGCAGGTTTTGAATCGTAACCAGTGTTACCTTTAAATGGCCGGATGGCCTGAAGATACTGTCCATCAGAGAAAACTGAGCTCAGTTAAAGGGGAGTAATACCTAGCCCATAGGACTGCTGTGGAGAAAATCAGGTAGAGCTCTTAGTGCCCCATTTATCTCAGTTTGGGGCTTCTCTTTAAAGCTGCCTATAAGTTAATAGAGGTCTCTTTAACTTGGGAATCTAAGAATGAAATTTAAAAGGTCCAAGAAACCTTAAAAATTGTGTATCTTTCAAGGACAGAGGGCCCATACTGGCCAGTGCTGAAGTTTTCAAAGGTTTCATTTAAGAATTGAAAGCCACTGGAATAAGTTAAAGAATGGCTTCCTTATTAGGACATGAATTAGTAAAATCCTGAGTCTGTCATTTGTAACAGTTGGCAACAATATTTGTTGTGTGATTCAGTTAACTTGACTGAGTTCCATTTTATTATGCTTCTCTACATTTTTAAGGTGTGGTTGCTGGGCACTGGTTTTTATCTCCATAGAACTGCCACTAAGCAGGAGCAAGCTGGCAAGTGCCTTGGGCTTTAAAAACTGCTATATAAGTTGAAAATCCCAGACAGTTCATTTATTGGAATAAGGGCTTCTCAAAAGAATTGTGCAGTGTTATATTCATTTTCTTGACTGTATATTTACATGTTTTTGTCAAATAACTGCTTTTGGTATGTTTCAAAGTATAAAGACCTTATGTGACACAGGAGATAGCAGCAATCCCTTCCAGGAAGAAGTACATTGGACAGTCTTGGTAATAAAATTCAGCAATCTTTTTAAGAGTTTTCTTGATAACTGTTAACTATTGTACCTGGTGAGGTAGTTTGTATATTTGGGAAGTCTGAGGTGTATGAAATGTAAAGGAAAGAAACAATGGAAAGATAGGTGTTTACTCTTTGGTGGGAAGGGGAAGACTAATAGCTTGGTCAGGAGCAACAGGTTACCTGTCCTTTTTCAGCGTAGCAATACTTAACATAAGAATGAAGTCTTTCCTGCCTGTTCTAGAAAGAGATACAGATGACCTGGAGAAGTTTAGTGATTAGATGAGCTGTAGAGATAGTTAAAAGTGAACTAAGGAATAGATTACTGGGTTAAAAGTTGAAATTCAAGCAGAAAAACCTAAGAAAGATCTTAAAAGTATAGGAGGAACATGTATACTTTGAACTCTTCAACTCTTCTGATCTGCCCAAGAAAGAGGAAGAAATTGTATTCGACCCCAGCAGAGGCATTTGAATTAGAGAGGTCGGGAAATAAAGATACCCTAGAGTATCTTTATAGTTTACCAAGAGTAATTTTGCTTTTCAGTTTTTCTTCGAAAAACACCCAATTTGGGGACTTCTCTCGTGGTCCAATGGTTAAGACTTCACCTTTCAAATGCAGGTGGTGAAGGTTCACGCCCTTGTTGGGGGACTAAGGTCCCACATGTTTTGCAGGGTGTGGCCAAAAACTAAATGCCCAGCTTTGTGAGTAAAAAAATCTTATGGTAACGTCTCAGTAGTGGTACAGTAGAAGATCTTAGTTAGTTGGTTAATTGAAAAGTAGTTAAAATGTCTTCCTACTTGTTCTAAACATTTTCAGTTAAAACAAATGTGCATGTTCATTTGCCCATTTCTAGTGTGGACCTAAGACCTTTTCTTTGAATGTGCATAGACATCTTTGAATAACCCAAGTGATATGTGTGTGTGTCTTCTTTAAAAAATGGTCATTTCAAAACTTTCAGTGTAATTGCATTAGAAATGCTTCTTTTCATACTTAAATTTGATAACAAAAATAGCATAGCATTTTAGTAATTATATCCAAGTATAATGGCGTAGCTTGGGGAACAAATACAGGACTCAATAATGGTATAACTGCTGATAGAAACTAAACGGGGTTTCAGGGAGTAGCTGA